TCCGGGGGCGGAGTGTTGCTGCCCCCAGCACCCACCCTCCCCGTGCTCTGGGGCTGGGCCTTGCAGCACGCTCTCCTCCCTTCCCCCACTGCTCCGGGGCTGGGGGGAGTGCATGTCTACCCACTAGCCCTCTCCCCGTGGCCTCTTTCCTATGGGGCCTTCCCTCCCCCAGCCCTACCTTCCCCAACCGCCCATGTAGGGGAGGCAACAGACAAGCATGTGGCACGCTCCCCCCTCTCCCAGCTGGCGTTACCGGGCTGGTTGCGGTTCCAGTGGGTGTACATGACCTCGTCGCCGCTCAGCCAGCGGAATGAGCCGGTCTCGTTGATGTCCTGCAGCGCTGTCCAGAAATACTCGCTGTCCCAGCCGTAGATCAGGCTGCTGACATACGCCTGCTCAAACCTGACACGGCGAGAGAAGTGGGATGCCCACGGTGAGTCTGGGGCTGTGGAGCTGTTCCGGGTCCCACACGGCCCAGGCTGTAGACTCGGGTTTTCAGCTCTGGAGATCCCCAGTTCAGCCCCCAGCAGCTGTCACACAAGCAGGACAGTCGCCAGCGCTTCCAGCTGTTGCCCCGCTAATTAACTTTACCTCCTGCGGGACGTACCTGGCTCCCCGTTACGCAGCTGGAGGAATGGGGCATGACTTGCCACAAGGGGCACAGCCAGGCACTCCGTGGCAATAGAAACCAGGGGTCCTGCCCCCCAGACCATGTTCAGACCCACAGGAATGTTGAGCACCAAGCGGGGGGACGGAGACTCTGGGCGTGTCCCCGAGGGAATGGAACCTGAACCCCCTGACCGCAGAGCTAATCCCCAGAGCGCCCCCACCTGTTGGTGATGGTGACGAGGGTGGCCCCAAAATCGACGCACATCTTCCGTGCATCACTGTAGGTCACACGGTCTTCTCCTAGCCAATAGCAAGAGGGGCTGTGCCATTTCCAGCCCTGGGACAAGAGAAGACAATGAAGGAAAGACATCTCGCAGACTTCAGTGCCAGCTGAGCGATGTGCTTTCCCAGTGCCCTTAACCCACAATGCAAAATTGTCCAGTGGAACTCCCTGCTACAAGATGTTACTGAGCCCAGGAGTCTAGTAGGATTCACAAAGGGGATGAGACATTTACATGAATAAGAATCTCTGCGGTTCCACTAGTTAGGACAAAACAATCCTGCTCCAGCACATAATCAGAAGGAGCTTCCCCCAAAGACACGTTATTGAAGAGTCTGAATTTTCCTCCTCAAGCAGCTGATGGTGGCTACGTTAGAGCCAGGAGACCGGTCCAAGATCACCCCTGGGTCTGTTCCGGCCTGGCGATCTCTATGCAACTAACTAGAGTTACTTAGGAAAGCAGTATTGTGTCTCATCCATAATCCACCGCAGAGCCCCCTGCTCCCCTGGGCTCAGCACAGTGTCAAGGCCTGGCTCACCAACACGCTTCCTGAAACACCCTGGGTTTTCCTTGGGAGGTCTCCCATCCCCTCGCTAACCCGGCTCGACCCGCGTTCTCTTGTGAGATCCAACAAGCTTGCAGCAAGAGGCGAGGGCGCAGGAAAAACAGCCAGGCAGCTTCAAAGCCACAGAAAGTTCCTGCCTTGCCAACAGCCCACCCTGGAGGGGCGGCTCCGAGAGGGGAAGACAATCCGCTGCTTATGCAGGAAGGCTGAGCAAACAGCAGTCCCACCGCAGTGCGCTTTAATAGCCCTGGTGTGCGGATGCCGGAGCCTCTGTGGAGCTGAGGGCACAAGAGGGTCTATTCTCTGCCAGCGCGGCGTAAGCAGTGTGGGCTGACGGGCAGGAGGGACTCCGCAGCCCGCTCCAGCAGCCCTCGGCAAAGGCAGCAGCAGCCCCTCTGCACAGAGGGCTCGGCCACTGCAGGGCAAGGGAGGACGAGAGAAGAGTCAGAACCAAAGAGCCAGGAGGGGGTGAGCCTGAGGCCGGGCGTGTGGGGAGGGAGCTAGTGGAGGTGCACAATGTCCAGCACCAAGTCACCTTGCTGTAGTAGGGTGCTGCCTTCGCCCCCCTCCCCCACTCCGCTGGCAATAAGCCTGAGCCCAACCACGAGCATGAACCCCCAGCCCAGAGCCCCGTCCTGCACCCCAGACCCGTCATTCCTGGCCCCCACTCCAGAGCCTGCCAGAAGATATAACCATGTTGGGTCACAAGCATCAAGTTTTCTTCAACTGGGTCACGAGAAAAGAGTTTGCAAACGGCCGAGCCAGAGCACGGGCTGCTCGACACGGCGAATCCAGAGAGTCTGACGGAGGGAACCAGGGGGACTGGGTGGCTGTATCCCTGAGACCGGCCGGCCGGGCATGAATTCAGCTGCCTCCCATTACTCACAAGCTGCCTTCGCTCCCCCTTGGTACTTCTCTGGGAAGCGGGGCTGTTGTCCCCTCTTGCCCAGGCTGTGCAGCACCGGTGCGGAGTACCCAGTCAGCCCCCGAGCCCTGTTTTCCTCGCCGTGGGCAGTGTGTGTGCGAGGGGGGCCGGCGTGTGACACGGGCTGCATAGCGCGGGCTGCAACAAGGCTGCAGAGAGGTACAGGCCGGCCCTCAGCGGGGCTCTGCGTTCCATATTGCAAACGGCAAAGAGCTGGGGCCAGGGGAGCAAAGGAGTCGATTTCTCTTCGTTACAATCTGCAGTCCCCGGATCTCAGTCCCTGCTCCCTTGGCAATCCAGGGGCGACGGCCTGCACACAGAGGGTGTGTCTAGACTACAGAGTTTTGTCGACAAAAGTCCACTTTTGTCGACAAAACTATACCTGCGTCTACACTACCGCTGAGTTCTGTCGACATAACGTCGACAGAACTCAGCAGTGTTGTCGATGCTGGTAAA